GATCTCAGAGAGGCTAAATTAGGTGCTCTGGGTAAAATACTGGTCAGTCGCGAAGCTAAAATGTAAACACTGATTTGATTGATGAAAAGAACCCTTACTTAATTTGTTTTGCGTGTTCTTCCCACTAAGTCTTGCTGGATTGCTCAAAGATAGATGAGTTATACATAAGATTATACATAAGTATATGAGTGACTTCCCATTTGTTTCCTCTGCAACCCCCTTGGGGTTGCCAGGGTAGGAGGCCAGGAACCAAGACAGGAAGGCAGAAAAAGCAATGCCAAAAATGTAACCGAGTCTGAGATGATGTTTACTCCTTCCCCCAACAAACAGTTATGAACATCTTCTATGCCCTACAGCTGAGCTAGGCACCAAGGCCAATGTTGCTGCTCCTTACCACCAACACTTCAAAGTGGTCATTCAATTATATCTCACCATTATAGCAAACGCCTTGGACTGGGAAAATAAGTTTCCTCTCTGCTGTCTGCATGTAAGTAGACTTCATTTCCAATAGCCAGCTTTGAGAAGCAGAGACTATAAAAGCATTTTGCGTAATCCACTTTCTGTGTAGTTTGTACAGAATACCCACATTTGGTAGCTGCACCTAAGGAGACGCACTGCTCAGAGGATACACTGCTGGTGTAGAAGCAATAGCGCAAGGCCTCAATCAGGACTGGTTCTAAGCAGCTGCCCCATGAAACTGGAAATCGAACCATTTCTTTATCCAAAGAGTCATATAGGCTAACCCCCTGAAGCGGTGCCCGCTGGATAAAGTGCGTTTGTTCAACAGAAAGATAAGATAGGACCCCAAAGGTGAGCAAGGCCACCCAAGCAAACCAGTATACACAAAAAGCGTATAAAACATATAAATGACAAATGATCAGAAAAATGCAATGAGTACCTTATCCCCAAATAATTCCCTTCATTTTATATCGCATCTTTGTCTCAGAATAAAGAAATCAAATGCCCTAAAGGAGACAGTACCTGATTTAGTTTCGGTCACAGAGAACATGAACACGCCTCTTCTAGAAGCTGGCTCCTATCCAATCTCCTCTCCTTTCACCTAATAATTCTCAAAGAATCTCTACGTCATTTTGCTATCATCCTACTTTATGTTATTATAATAACACGTATGTCTAGAAAGAAGAACTGAATTCTATTTAAATTTGACTATAATATCAAGGTCTGCTGTGTTGGAGATACATACTTAGAATTTACCCCTTAAGGACAAATTCCTTAACCACCTCTTAAATAAATGCTCAGAATGCTAAGCCCTTCTTCATTGTTGACGTAGCCATCAGGACATGTTCAAGGACACATAGCTACACTTGCGTTAGCTCCTCAGCAAAGCCTTACATCCCAACTGCTATATTAACGTTCTCTCACAAGCACTTTAGAATGTAGACCCTAACTTGCAGCTCTTCTGAATATATTCAACTTTTAAAAACTAAATGAAAGCAGTAGAGAGTACAAGTCAAAAAGGGCAATTTAGGTCATCTTTTTATTGCCTAACCAGCATTAGATTGTTTCCTACTGAGTATTTTTTAAGTGTTTGGTCTGATCTAATTTTGAACCACCCGCGAGTCTGAGGTGTTCACCTCCTCCCTGACAGACTGTGATATCATTCAAGTCTATCAGCATTAGTATTCAGACTGGGTGTGTGCTTAGCTCTGCACCGCTCCTAGAAAATGCTTATCCCTCAACTTACTCAGATATACGTGTGTACTTTGGGATGTGCTAACAAGATTTCAAGTGTGAAGAAATCTATATGCATGTCTGTGCATCTATAGATTGTAAGACCTCGAGTAAACTGAGGTTTACTTTTGTTCTTATCTTGCAACAGTATTAAATCATTTCTTTGTGGGGTTTGTTAATCATTTTATCAGGGGCTCATATGACTCTTATCACAATCCATACATACATCAATTGTGTAAAGCACATTTGTACATTCATTG